GGAAGATAATGAAGAATAATAACTATTATTAAATTCATTATTGTTAATTATTGTTATTATTAATAATTATTCATAGTAATTATTTTTTAAATTATTATTATTATTATTATTATTATTTATCAATATTATTATTATTACTATTATTTCTTAGACTCCCAATAAATAACACAGAGAAGTCTCCAGTGACAAGAATAATTAAAAAAAAAAAAGCTATAGTCGAGGTTAATAATATATCCCCAATAAAAAATCCGTGTAAATTACCTCAATAAAAATACTTATTAAAGTAACCCAATAAAAAAAATTAAAAAAATGAAGAAAGGCCTAGGAAAAAGCGTGAAAGCCCTTTAAAAAGACCCTAAAAAAGACCTCAAATGACCCTTAAGCAAAAAAAAAAAACTCCCCACAGGATATCAATAAAAGACATGAAAAAGACCCCTGAAAGACCCAAACAAAAGTTAACAATATTAAACAGTGAAATACTTCAATAAAAGATCAAAAAGACCAAAAAAAGTCCCTAAAAAATCCCTCCAAATATACCATATAAAAGACCCAAAAAGCATAATAATAGACCCCAAAGATCCCAAAGACCCCAAGGAAAAAAGACCCAAGAAAAAATATACCCCAAAAGACCAAAACAAGACCCCCAAAAAGACAAAAAAGTGATCTCAAAATAACATCAAAAAGACCCAGAAAAGGCCCAAAATAAGTATCCCCCAAAAACGCAACTTCAAAAAAATCGAAAAAGACCCAAAAGTCCCCCAAAAAAAACTAAAAGGACTCCGAAAAGATACTCTCAAATAAAGATCTCTCCAAAAAGAGACCCCAAAACGAATCCTCTCCAAAAAAGACACACCAAAAAGAGACATTTCAAAAAGAGGCCCCTAAAATGAGGCCCCCCCTAAAAAAAACCTACATAAAGAGACCTCAAAATGAATCCTCTCCAAAAAAGACTCCAAAAAACGATCCATCAAAAAGTGACCCCTAAAAGAGTCCTGCCCCAAAAAGGCCCCAACAAAAGAGCCTAATAAAAGTAGTTTTGGATAGATGAAAGTGGCAGCTCATTTCTGGAGGATAATTACTCACACACAGGTAACAATTATGGTGCAGTGGCACACACCGTTAACGAGGTGATTACCCTTTGACTGGCATCGTTAACTCTGTGCTGGAGTGGTTTGGGTGAAGGTGGTAGCAGTGACTGGGATGGTAATAGTGAGTGGGAGTGGGAATAGGAGTGTGAGTGTTAGTATGAGTGGCGGTGTGAGTGGTAGTGTGAGTGGTAATGTGAGTGGGAGTGGTAATGTGAGTGTGAGTGGTAGTGTGATTGTGAGTGTTAGTGTGAGTGGTAGTGTGATTGTGAGTGTTAGTGTGAGTGGTAGAGTGAGTGTGAGTGTGTGAGTGGCAGTGTGAGTATGAGTGGTAACATGAGTGTGAGTGATAGTGTAAATGTGAGTGGTAATATGAGTGTGAGTGTGATTGGTAGTGTGAGTGGTGGTATGAGTGGTAATGTGAGTGGTAGTGAGAGTGGTAGTATGAGTGGTTGTATGAGTGGTAGTGTGAGTGGTAGTGTGAGTGGTAGTGTGAGTGGTAAAGTTAGTGGTAGTGTGGGTGGTACTATGAGTGGTAGTGTGAGTAGTAGTATGAGTGGTAGTATGACTGGCAGTGTGAGTGGTAGTGTTAGTGGCACTATGAGTGGTAGTATGAGTGGTAGTATGAGTGGTAGTAGAGTGGTTGTATGAGTGGTAGTGTGAGTGTAGTGTGAGTGGAGTGGGTGTGTTGAGTGGTAGTGTGATGGTGTTATGGTTGTTGAGTGTAGTGTGAGTGGAGTATGAGTGGTAGTGTGGTGGTTGTTATGGTTGTTGGTGGTATGAGTGGGTGTGAGTCGTGGTGTTAATGATTTTGAGTGGTAGTGAGTGGAGTGTGAGTGGTAGTGTGATGTAGTGTGAGTGGAGGGTGAGTGTGTGTGGTGGTAGTGTTAATGGGTTGTATGGTGTTTGGGGTATGGGTGGTAGTGTGAGGGTGTGTGGGAGTGGTAGTGTGGTTGGGGTTATGTGTGGTAGTGGGTGGTGGGTTGGGGAGTGGTGTGTTAATGGATTGTGTGGTGGTGGTGAGTGGTGTGTTAATGGTTGAGTGGTAGTGTGAGTGGTAGTGTTAATGGTGTATGAGTGGTAGTATGAGTGGAGTTGAGTGGTAGGGGGTAGTTGTTTGATGGTTGTAGTGTATGTGTGTGGGTAAGTGGTAGTGTGAGTGGTAGTGTGGTGGTATGAGTGGTTGTGAGTGGTAGTTGGGGGGGTGGTAGTGTGTGGTAGTTGGTGGTAGTTGAGTGGTTGGTGGTTTGGGGTGTGTTATGGTGTATGAGTGGTAGTATGAGTGGTAGTGGAGTGGTAGTGTGAGTGGTGATGAGTGGTAGTGTGTGAGTGTAGTGTGAGTGGTAGTGGTGATGAGTGGTAGTGTGAGTGGTAGTGTGAGTGGTGTGTGTGGGTGGTAGTGGTGGTAGTGTGAG